AAGGACGCTTTGAGGCCTGGATAAAATTGCTGATTGCACGTTAATGTGAGAAATGACGGTTACGTGTAGCAACCGTTGAGAGAATTATCACCAATCATCGTGAAAATGAGCTAAATGTGCTTTCGTGTATCTCCTAAAGGTCACATTTTCGATCGTTTGAAATCGAGATTCACCCGGTGAGAAGATTTTCAACTAAAATAAAAGCCCCAGGCGTGACAGGGCCATCGCACTTACAACCGAATCCCCAACCGGAACCACGCAATTGCAGCCGGCGATAAATTTTTTCTCTATACATAGACGCCGTTGGAAGCGCGGTCGCTTAAGAACCCCATCGCATCAAAAAGACTAATGCCACATTAACAGCGAAGGGAAAAACACAGTGCAACGGTGATATCCGACTGATAACTCAGTCGTCGTCGTCGTTGTCCTCCGCAGCGAAACGGTTATTCGAAAAGGGGGGAAGTTCTTCCAAGGGCGTCGGCGCTAAAGTTAGACGGCCAAACTTATGCCCATTCCAAGACGCGCCCATCTGCACGCGGAGGCGCGGCTCGCCTCTTTTACCCTCTCTCTTTCTCTTTCGTCCGCCCCGCGGCTACATTTTTTAATAAGCTTCCTATTGATAGCGAAATGCGGGCGCGGATGCAGAGAGCGCGAGGTCGCAAGCGGTGGAACATTTATCTTTTTGCTTTTGCAGTTTCAAGGCGCGGAACATCATCGTCTACGAAAGCTATCGACTCCGGTCGGCCGACGGGTATCGTTCGATGACCCGCGAGGTGGAAAAATTATCGAACAACGGGGCGAATTTTGCGATAGGTGGTCGTCCCATGCCCGCGGCTCACCATTCATACCTCGATCGCGCGACTATAGTCTTGCGTTCTACCGCGGAAAACGCCGTGTCGATCAGTGCGACAGCAGCCGGCAACCGCGCTTCGCCGTATCTTGCATCCACCCGAGCAACGAAAAACGCGCTTCTAACTCCGCTCCCCGATATCAGTTAGACTCTCTCTCATTGTCCTCGCGACTGGCATTGTGTATTCTCTTCCTCCGCAACAATCGCGGGCGGTTCAACGTCCCGCACGAAAATTTCTTGCTGCCGCCGCCGTCGCGCGGCATAATCAGATACCAGCCCACGAGGCAGGAAGACGGACAGGAGGGAAGCGGCGATAGCGTGCGCATACGATTGAATAAGTAGCGCGCGCGGCGCTGCCGTCCTCCCGAAAAAAGAGCGCGCGAACGCGCGCAGAGCTATCTCCCGTTGGAAGGGAAAAAGCGCGAAAGCGACGAAAAAAAAAAAAAAAAAAAGGGTTGCCAAGCGAGAGGAGACGCTATCGATCGTAACTGCGCGACGCGACGCCGCGAGAGAGTGAGAGAGAGAGAACGCGCGCGCGGAAAATGTGTAACACTCGAAAGCTCATTTTTTTTTCCTACCGCCGTGCCGCTCTCGCGGGGATAATGCGCGTGGCGATGCGCGAATTGGGATTGCCGACGCTTTTATTTACGTATCGGCGCGGGAAGATTCGATTACGGGGAAAAATTTACATTTTTCGAGGTGAGGTCGAAGACCCGATCTCGCGCGCGTAATTAACCGCGAATCGAGTTTTTCTCTCTCGCTCTCTCGTCCCGCCAAGCTGCAAGCGATAAAATTTTAATGAGATTGTCGCACGGGAAACCTCTGAGGTGCTGAGCAAGAGAGTTTCCGACGGCGGGGCATTTTTTCCGTAGAAAAGTACGAGAGAACATTCGTTAAAATGCGCTACAACTACTTCCGCGAGTGCGCTTGCAATTTCCCAGCGATTCGAGAAACCGAGAGAAAAAAGAGATGAAAGGGAACCATCGTATGAAAATGAAGGCCCGAGTCGTTCCGCCTGTTTACACGGCTTTTCGCCGCCTCGCGAGCGCGCACCTCCAACTCTGCGCTAAATTGAAAATTCATCGTTCGAGAGAGGATATCAATTATGAAATTCTCGATGGGATTAGCGGATTTTCGATGCCCGCGCGATTTAATAAGGCTATAATGATGTTGCCCATATGTAAATTGATCTCACGCACACAGGAGCCTTTCGACCTTATAATTAGTTTTATGAACATTGTCAACGTCATGTTTGTCGGGAATTTTAAGCTTAACGTGTATTTACTTTTTTTAAAAGCATTCTTTTTTTATTGTTTTAGAAAACTTTTTACTTTTGTTTTGATACCGATAGAAATAGTCAACAAGTTGAAACTTTCTGGGAATGAGTATTGAAAATATTTTTCAGTCGGTAGTCTTTCAAAATAGAAAAATTAGTGGTGTCAGTCACGATCCAATTCGAGGAATCATGCACATTCAGAGAATGTCAGACACCGTTGAAGCTGCCATAATTAGATTCAAACTTTATTTTAATAATGTATGATTGATACTTATGTTGATATGGATAATAAACTCAACCTCATAATTGAATCAACATGACAAAAACAAAATCTATGTATGCACGTTTGTTTTCTCAAAAAAAAAAAAATTTACAGTAATTCTTCAATAGAGGGATAAATATTTGAGAGAAAACGCTAGGTTTGAGAATGGTTACACAACCGTTCTAAAACACACATACACAACACACGGCCTTTCCGAACGCGCATCCACGAATCAGCTAATCAACTAGAAAAAGAAGCTCGCCGGTGATAAATCAATTTGTAGCAACTCGAGTGAAAACCTTTCTCTCTCTGCTACCACTTGAACATTAAAAAACCTACGTCGGAGTTAATTATCCCTTTTCTCCTTTGCCAACGTACGTTTTTTTTTTATTTCGAGCGAGTTGAAAGTTCAATTTGGCCTGATTGAACGCGCGCATGTACACGGTGTTGGCTTCGTGATGGCTTTGATGCTTACACCTGTATGTACGTAGAGGCTGGCTTCTGATATGAGAGGCTTGATTAAATTGAGAGAACTTAATTTCTATATATTGGACTTTGCATGCGTCAAACGGCCCTTTTTTCTTCGTCGATGACTCGCTTTTAACGGAGTACACTCAAAGCTTCGTGTTGCTTCATTGAGCTTTTTTTTCACGAGAGAAAAGTTGTAGAACGCCAAAGTAAACATTTACTACAACGGATAGAAAGTGAATTTCCATCCGCGTACGAGTTATTCAAGCGTTCCCCGCCGAATGAAAATTAATCCCTCGCTATGTCAATGAAACTTTCGTGATAAACTCACTTATCGGGAATATATTGAATGACAAATATGAATTACTCAATTTTTGCGCGTGCCAAAGGATGAGTGAGAAAGAGAGAGTGAGAGAGAGAGAGAGAGAGAGAGAGAGAGAGAGAGAGAGAGAGAGAGAGAGAGAGAGAGAGAGACAAAGAAAGACAGGAAAAACCGCGCGCAGCTCATTTCCTCGTCGAGACACTTTGCAAGATATAAAAGAGCGCCCGTCTCGAGTGTTTTCTGCGAGCGAGAAGGGGAACCCAACACCGCGTGTAAACAAAATAGAGCAGCGGACCGTAATCAATACGCGAGAAAGCCACCGAGAGAAAACCAGTATACATATGGCAACAAACAAAAAGAAAATATGTACACACAGACATCGAGGGGTTGCTTGCACGATGGATTAATTGCACGCGTGTGGGTTAATTGCTTGCGGACAAAGGGGTTACGTACGAGGTGTTGGCTTTCAATGAATCATTAGCAAGCGAAAAATTACGAAACCTCGTATGGTCATTTGTCTCTTTGCCGCGGTGGAAAAAGGACGAACGTTCGCAGGAAAAAAAAACTTTGCCAATTAAGAACGCACACTCGAGTAGTTCTGCAAAGATGAGATATCAAGTCCTCGCTTAAAAAAAGAAAGTCTTTTGAAAAAAAAGTTTAATTACTGGCGCAAGTATACGTACTTCGTGCGTACGCACAGTGCGGATCTATGATTTCGTCAAGAGCACTCGGCTGTGCAATTTTGCACCACATTTTCTCGGTATTAAAAAGAAATAGACCTCTAGCTTTTCGTCCCACTTTGCGTTAGTAACAGTTTTGCCCAGCGGACAATGCGCATTATCGCCATTTCCAGCGATATTGTTTGTTCTGACTATCGTGTAAAATTGCATTTCGCAGCGCCAGATACAATAGCTGATCTTCAGCTGATTATTACTCCGCACAATGTGTCGATGCAGTTTTATTGAATTTCGCGTGTATCTACGATCTTTGGTACGCGACGGGGGATTGGATATGTCGAAACACGTTTTTGCTTGAAAACTTTTTCAACATAAGAGCGAGTGAAATTCGCCGTACCATAAACTTCCGATGTTTAACACACGTGTATACGTAAACGTAACTTGCTACAAAACCAGAGAATTTCAAAGAGAGGATCGATCGACGCGTTGAGCCAAAAAAATGCATATCGAATTCTCATTGAGAGGCATCAATCTTTCGAGTCAATATCCCTTGCAAAAACACGTTCGTTATCTTGGCAAACGTAGACCTTGGGAAGTACAGTTTCGATAACAAAGAGAAGGAGGAAGAGACGTCCCGATACAAATGAATTTGGACATTCGAAGGGGGAGGGGGCCAATGCGCAATCGCAGCATCCATGGGGGTTGACTCATCGCCCGCGATTGATGAGTTCTCTCTCGCTCTTTCTCTTCTCTCTCGGGTTGCAGTAATGGCCATTTACAATTGTTTTTTTTGTATTTTTTTCCAAAACGGGGAAGAGTCCACTCTTAAACACACGCGGAGCGTCAGCAAAGATAATAGTTGAGAACAGCTGTGCCGTGCTTATAGTTTGCGGTTCAATACTCCCATGCGTATGCATGTGTACGTCTGCGTACGTGTGTGCATGTGCGTCTCGACGGCGTTTTAGCACACAATCGCGACATTTCCATACAAACGCAGACAAGTGCAGTCAGCAGTAGCGCCGACGCCGATTCACCCCCGCCTCGTACATGCACATTCGCTGGCGCGTATGCGTGTCTATGTACGTCTTTCTATGTGTATGTATATGTACGCCTTTATGGGAGAAAGTGGAAGTTGTGTTACGAACCTTCGCCCTTTTTTTTATCTTCACGCCGTGTCGACGATCCGCCTTTGAATTGTCGAGTGAACCACAATGACAACCGATAATAATTATCACATCGTCGCGCGCACTTAGAACGGACGCGGCACTGCACGCCGAGAGAGATGTAAGGCAAACACACACACACGCACGGCACCGCAATATTGATATTCTACTCTCCCACCTCGAGAGTCGACACTCGACTACTGATGATCAGCATACGCCGCCGCCGTCACTGTGCGGTTGCCATTGCATTGAATTTTACCGGCTGAGTAAGTATCATAGCGACATCTGTTGAGCAGAGGAAGAGCATTGAGCGTTGGTACTGCAAGGTGAAGGCGGGAATGTTTGACCGATGAACCAGTTGCAGGTAGCTTTAGTATTAATGATCGTTATCCACACTGTGCTGGCACGCGCTGCTGCTGCTGCTACGGATTTATTGCGATTATAAATCTTTTGCGGGTAAGAGATTTCAGAGGTAAGATGACGAGGACCTGCAATTTTAGGTTTATTACTGCAGGGACGAGATATATACATATTATGAGTACTTCAATTCTCTAAACCTTGGACTTTTGAATTTAACACGATTGAATGTCTTCAGTTAAGAATTCTTCACGGTTTAGTTAAACATTGCTTTTTTCAAATTATTTTAATCTATCCATTCAAAGTTATAATTAAACACCGTAAATAAAAGTCATATATTTTTTGAATAAAAATCTTATTTAACACTTCTAATTTTGCACTACAATTATTCAATGTAAATTCAACGTGTATATTCTATCCACCGGATATTATACTCTTGGGTTGTATTAATTATAATATAACATGTACACGTATCATTGTATAAATTGATTTATGTAAACAACTAATTTCAATAATACACGTTATTTTGTTCAAGATTTACTGTACACCACTGTCAAAAAATATAGCATAAAACCTACACGATTAAATTATAACTTTATTATGCACATTATATCATTCACGCTAAATTATTTTCTTTACGGTATAAATATTCACAAATATATTACGTATAGCTTTCATTTCATTTCATTGTACACTGTGAGTTTTACATGCTTTCATTTAAATGTAAATTCCAATTTTTTACACTTAATAATCTACATTTTAATTGTAATGAATACTTTAAACTGTACAATAGTTTTTATACATGTGTAAGATAAAAAAAAATGTATATAGTTTATTTTTATTTTAGCTTAATATTACTCAAGCCTTGCTTCTACACTCGATAGTGTGTACCATTTATCTTTATTAAAATATTTCAACTCTATACACATACAATCACACACACTTTATTGTTAATATACATTCAAAATTTATACATGCATTATTGTTTGAGGAAATTTCTTTTTTGCAAAAATTATGGTTGATTTGCAAATCATAAATTTAACATTATGTAATTTTACCTTGAATTCATTGTGAACATTCGACTTATAGTTGGTATGTGAGTCATTGTAATTGTTTTAATCACAGAATAAGAAACCATTCTATAGGATGTCTTATTACAGTTTAAATAGGCATATGCGACAGTAATTACAAAACAAATATTTTACTGAAAAAAAAAGTTTTAAAATTGAGATAAATGTCGTTAAATAAAAAAATTAAAGTGTTTAAGAATGCAAAAAATTAAAAAAAAACCTGTTTTGCTATCGAGAAGCAGCTGGGTAAACATAACATCATCAAATTTTAATATAAAAGCATTTATTTACTGCATCAGTAAACCGACAACATTTTCATGGGACCCGTATTTTGCATTAATACTTAATACATTAAAAAAACATCGATTTTATAACTTACTCCCTTAAAGCCTTACAGAAAAAACTTAGATTATAAAAACCAAACATTATAACAAATTAATACAGATATGATAGAACAAAACAATTAATCTGAATTCTAATTAAACTATAGTTTAAAAATTGATCATGATAAACTATGGAAATATATCTATGATCGCGATTAAAGATCACAGCTTAGATTTGCGTGATGGTTTATTTTTGCGATACATAATATGAAACAACGTCGAAGTTGTTGCGGGTAACTTATACCACCTCTATGGGGAACACCTTCGTATGAAGAAACTATTATATATCTTGAAAGTATTATTATTATCATGTGAAGGATAAAACTCATTCGCACGACATTGTGCAAACGAGGATTATGCTGTACTGAAACTATCTATAATGATGTCGTCGGATGATGCGAATATCTTATACCGAAAAACAATAATCAAATGGAATTAGAAGAGCTAGAAATATATTATTAATCGTTGGTGCTTTCTTTCACTGCTTAAACTATCTGGAACGAGGTATGTTTAATCGACCTCGAGCTTACGGAACGATCCGGATATTCCACCAAGTCCTTCGCTGGAGGCACAGTTGTTCTTTGGCGATATTTCGATGAACATGTCGTCGAGAGCTTTGATGGACTCGCCCTTCTCTCTCAGCAACTTTTTGAAGTCAGCTGCAAAAAAAAGCAAACGGTTCGTCTTAGGAATCAGTCGAAGTTCGAGAAGCTCGAGTGCGCGATCGATTGATTTTACCGATCATGTCGGCGAGCGGAACTTCGCCACCGTACTCTCTGGGCAGGATTTTCGGGTCGATGGTTTGCCGAAGCTCGTCCAACGTTTTGTGCAACTGCGAAGAAAAGGCAGAGGTTGCATTAATTGTCGGACGCGAGCCTCGTTCGATTGCGTGTCAAGAGCGCACAACAATCGGCGCACTGTTGTGCGAGTCGCACGGCCGACGACGCTCCAAAGATTAGGTACGCCGTCCGCGCGATACCCGACGAGTGCGAGCGACTCGTTTTTCGAATAATCTTACCAGCACCCGCGATCTCAGCTTATCGTTCAACAGCGAAAGCGCAAGCTCGATGAACTTCATCGTGCAGCCCGGCACATTGACCAGATGAGTCTCCTTGTGTCTCATCGGCGTACTGTTCTGAATGCAACCAAGCATGTTTCTTATGTCGCTGAATGACCACGAGCTAAGGTGGCCCATCGTCAAACCTGATTCGTCGTTCAAGTGGGTGTAACCGTGCACCTGACTTTCTTCGTCGTCCATTAATGCTTCGCACACGAGACTGTGCACCCGCACCATTTGAGCCGAGGTGTATTTGTACGGATCGAAACGGCCTGTAAGAATTGGTAAGAATGAATATCGTTAGTGCAAAATTTTCTTTTTTTCTTCTTCTTTTATCTATTTTTTCCTCTCTTTTAGGGCAGAAATTGAATTAAATATTAACGTTATTTGTCTTTTTTTACGCAGCTTTAATTTAATTTATTAGAAAAATACATATACTCAAATCACGTTGACAATCACCATTTTCTTGAAAAATTTTTTTTTTTTAAATTGTATTCTTATCTAAAAAGATATTTAAATTTATCGTTGCTTCTCAAGAAAATTATTCGTTTCGAAGTCGATGAAAAACGATTTCGGTGTTTCCACAAGGAAAAAAGAATTTTGCATGTTTATAATTCGCTATGTAAATTAATGATAATTCTTGTAACTAAAAAAATTAAAAAGCTAATTCTTAGCACATTTTTACACTAAAAGAAGGAAGAACAATTTCCATGCTAATATATTGAAAACGACAATAATCGGACAAAAAAAACTGATTAATTAAATACTTAAGCACCAAACTTCCTTCAAGAGTCATGGTAGAAAGTATACGAATCATCGTGATAAAAACGGCTCCAATCAGTTCCGGTGAGTGAATGAAATTACATAAAGGAACAATTATGTCACAAACGACGTTGAGTCACGTGGTGGTCTCTCTCTATCGCAATATTACAATGTAATTTTTGCCAAAGTTTAAAATTAAAAAAAAAATTTGAACGTCCAAAGGTAAGTATAAAAATAAAAGAAAAAAACATGTACGCAATTGGTATGCTCAACGAAAATTTGTGCCGAGGACGTGTCACTTGCAAATAAAAAGAAGAGAAAACTCTTTGTGTTTCGCGTTTACATGTGAATTGACGTGTACTTTTTGTTCGTGAAAAAAAAGATTTTTGTTCGTAATGTTTATGTTTCTCGGACGGGGCGGAGGGAGGGGTGGGAGGGGAGAGTAGAAGTGCCTAGCTCATCCGTGCATGTATAATCGTAACTAAACACGCGTGAACGCGCCAAGGTCAAAGAAATTAGCATGTACCTGCACAAGAAAGAATAACCTTTCTGCCGTGTGAATCCCTCTTGATCAAAGGTACGAGGTAGCCAGCGTCGATGATAGCTTCGATGTCAGGATCGTCGATGTTCAAATTCTGAAACCAGTCGGGGTACGTTTGCCGGATGGTCAGGTAACGCTCGAGCATCTCCTGAGCGAGTGGCAGACTGAACTTTTTGGTGCGCAGAAAGCGCAGCAGAAACACGGCGTCGGTGCGGCACTTCTTGATCGATGGGTGTTTGGATATCCAATCGCGGAATTGCGCCAAACAGTGCTCGCGCGTTTTCTCGTCCTCGCGAAGCTCACTTTTCGCGATCGCTTGGGCTTGCGAGCTCAGATTGCACTTGTACACCTCCGTTTGTTGCTCTTGGCCTCCCATATTGTTTTCCGTTTTCCTGCTGCAATTAAGCAAACTGGTGGAATTCATCGTTATTAAGATACCCTTGATTATCACGTTAAACAGTCAAGTCAACATATTAAATAGTATCGCGGGTGTTCTTTCAAACTGTAGCACCGTCATTAACGAATGTCATTATCGCGATGACGCGAGTACGAAGCAAAACGCCATTTAGAAACGTCGCAGTGACAATTAATCGCGAGCAGCATTTCCAAAGGCACCGCGAGACGTGACATCATTAGTCAAAGACGTGGCACCTGTCCGAAAAAACGAAGGACCCCCTCCCCGATTGTTCGCGATCGCTGCGAAAGCCACGGCCATTCAGACTATTTGAGAACTCCATTAGCTCCGTGCGACATTTCGAAGAAGAAAAAATGCGACTAGGATTGGCGAGTACAGCTGAATAAGGTGACGGACAAGATCGATCGTTTGCGCAATTATACGTGAGAGGAAAAAGTGAGGAAATGTTAAGGTGTTGGCCTTGAGTCAGTGACTCTTTAGCAAAGGATGGGTTTTGTGTGTTTTAGCCAATTTCTTTTTCGCGTTTCGTTCGCACTGAGAATTCGAATATGGCTTTTATGGCCGTTACGCAAATCGAGTCTGAAGATATTTCCAATGAACAAAAAATAAACAAGACGAATTTGACGACAACGCAAATGGAATCCGTTTTTCACCGCGAACGTGTAAGCCAACGCGGTGTAAGATTTTCACTGGAGGATATAGACGCTAACTGTGGCGTTCGCGACCTGGATGATCGTCGACATCAAATGATACCGTTTACATACGATCCACGCATCAACTAATTGCACGACACCTTATGTACATTCGTTCGGACGAATAGGCGCACACAACTATCTATCATTACACAACGCTGGAACTCAAGGTCCATAAATAACAGCTCCACTCCTCTCTCTCACTTTTTTTCTGTATCGGCCGTAGTGTAATACTCGCGTCATAACGCGTGCAGAAAAACCGAAGTCCCGCGATCGGTGCTCAGCCGTCTGACGAAACGTCACGGTTGCCTTTACGAAACATGCGGGTACCAAATGGGCTTTATCCTATCGGGCGAAGAATGCATTGTCGCGCGCTACCAGCGAGACGGGCTTTCTCTCGAGCATCGAAAATCATCCGGCCGATGGACCAGGATTCGTAAACGAGCGCTTGCGACAAGGCGATCCACTTTCTAAGCTCACACCCACGTGCGACGGACGGTGGTGAAAGCACCTCGACGCGCACGCACGCCACACGGCTCTCCGCCTGGCATTTCATCCCGTTCGAGATCCCGCGTATCACTTTCACTTTCGCTCGCGCGCGGGGCTTACGTCAGGCCCCCGAGGAAGTCCGCGCGCCCCTTGGCGAGCGCTTTCTCGCCGCGACGGTCGGGACCCGCGGGCCAGCGAGCTGGACGAGCGAACCCGCCGAATCGCGGCCGCGCGCACTCGGCACTCCGCGGGCCAGCGGTCGACGCGCGAATTCGGAAAGAGACGCACCTGCCTGCGCGCGCGCACTCCTGCGTGTGCGTGTGCGCGAGTGGCGTACGTGTGTGCGCGCGCGAGAGGTCCCTCGTGCTCGGGGCACGGCGGCGAGATGCTGACTGAGGCGCGCGCCGTAACGAGTTTCCGATGCCTATAACCCACTTGTGCTCGCCTGCCTGCCGCGTGAGCGCCGGCTCTCCTTCGCAAGGCAAAGGTAGGGGAACCGCGACGACGCACCGCGCCGCGCACGCCACGCGCAGAGCTTTCTTTCGGCCGCCAGATCGGTTTCTTTCTTCCCGCGACTGCTGTGCAATTTTCAACGCGCCGCCTAGATGTCCACTGCTCGTGGCTTGCGCCGTGCCTTTTCGCCAATTTATCCACTCTTTCTGCTATAGCGCGAGTGTACTGGCGTTCGACTTGCCAATTGTAAGCTTCTGCTTTGGGTTTTCCTTCGTGTCAATTCTCGCTAAGCAACGATTATCGTTCTTTCGAAGCTGCCAGTAATCTTAGTAGATACATTATTCACTGAAAATATACTTTGTCAGTCGAGGAAAGTTCATATTAGTTTTGCTCGATGTATCAATGAATGTCATCAATAATCTCTTGCAGTATATCCGTTTTCCTATTGTGCCATTCAAACCAACTGTTATTAATTGAACTTGAAAAATCAACACGTATGTTTAATAAAAGATTTGCATAATATTAACAACAATGAATCATTCGAATAATATCTCTTTCCTAACAACGGAAAGTTAGGCGTGACCCTACTATTTACAATAGTGATTCTGTGTTTGATTATTTGGAATATTAGATTTTTAACTTTCTTTAATTTTCTGTAAGGTGACTTTAGCAAGCATATTCTAAAAAAACTCATACACGATTGTCACAATACTTTTCTGTTACAAATATACCTGTCGTGAAAAAAGTGCGCTTAGTACTCATTAGAAACTTGAGTCAATAAGCTTAAACTCTTACTTGTGCTGGATTACATTACTTAACTTTGCCAGTTTTCAATCTGGTCTCGTCATTCTAACTCGATTTCAACGTAAATATTTATTCAACTTGTTCCTAATTTTTCGAAAAAATAAGAATTGATACGTTCGCCAGCAAAAGCACCGAACCACTTACTAAACTCGAGCTTGACAACGATAAAACAATCCAATTGCAATACATTCAATAAGCATTTTCGATTAATAAATAATTCATCGTGCAATCGTCGACGTAAACTTTACATAACGGGCGGCCAGTTCTGTTGGATAATAGCGCGTATCTAAGTTTCCTTTCGGTCTCAAACGCCGTGCGCACGCAAAGTGAGAAAGAAAGCCGATCGCGGGCAAAGGAGCCGTTCGAAATTGCCGAATGTTACGGCAACGCTCGCTATCAAAGCCCAAAATAAGCCGTTTACTTTCGCGCGAACGCGACCTTCCGCTTTCACTTCGCCGCTTCACCGAGAGTCAAAGTCTTTATTCGTCCGACTGAAATGGGGTCGCGAACCGTTCGTGTCTTCTGCTCTTTACTGCGCGCCGAACGCGTAAGAAGGCTTCAGCGAATCTGATTGCCGTTGATTAGGTTCCCTGGCGGCGGCTCGATTAATTATGCTTGTGTTGCCGAGCGATTTCCCATCGAGACGAAAGTACCTTGGATCGACGTCAGTTTCTTGCTCTTTGTCTGGTTTGCGTAACCGCTGATGTTGCGAAAAAGAAAAACGTCGATTGCGGGTCTTTATCCCCGTGTTTTATATCATTTTACGTGACACCTCTCCTCGTCAACGCATACAGCTCGCGATTGCCACAGCGGCTCGCTTCCGCAAATTAAACTGTCGAAACGCGCACTCACGCGAGCCTCGATTTCCTCGCGATAACGAGAGGTGAGTTAACCACTTGCAGGAAACTGCAAGATCGCACGCGTTCGCTCGGCAAATACCTACGGAATTAGGACTCTCAAACGGTTTTCCGAAGTAATTGAGATGGGTGACGCGTACCTCGAGCGGCGTCTCTCATATTTGGGTTCTGAACCGAGAGGCCCTAAATATCACGGGCAATCGAATACCCAAAGTAAAGGAGACCCGTTTACGATTCCGTTACGATATCCCATAAACCTAAAAAGTCAAATAAGAGCGGCCGAACTACGTTCCAACTTATACTCACGTAAAGTACAACCGCTCTGAATACAGTTTTAGCATTGTACGAATGATTTTTTAATTGTACTTCATGGCCCGTGTTCCCACGATAGCTTATGAATTTAATGATTCGGCGATTTAGAACGATCGCAGAGAAAAGCTTCATGAATTATTCGTTTTTCGAAGATTTTTATTATTTATAGCTTCGTTACTTTGGGAGAAAAATGGAACGCCTGTATTTCAAAACTTGATTACTTTGATGAAGTTTCACATTCAAAATACTGAGCTTTTTCAAGATTCTTTCTGCACTGATTAACTGATATAAAACTTGATCCACGTTGTTTTAAGACCATGAGATTAAGATCAGAGATCGCAATATTCTATACAGTAAAAAAATTCGAAAAATAATTCTTAATATAAGAAAGCATATTGTAAAATGAGAAGTATTTTTTTCTTAAAACGAGAAAAATCTTTTTTATCAAAAAAATAAATAAATAACAATTTTTTTAAGAAAACATGCGTCCTTAAAAATTGGTTTTACGATGCGACTAGAGGGGAAAAAAGTATTTCAAAGTATAAACGCATCGAAATAAGATAAATTATCTAATAATTCATCCGTACGATTATGGTTTAATTTGTCAATTGGAAGCTTATTGTGTACTCCTTAAATTTGATCGAGAATGAACCCCACAGTATCTCTATTCGTTTCCGGTGATCCGAAGAATTACTCAACAAAAGATGAAAAAAAAATCGCATCCCAGGAAGCATCGTCGCTTGTAGAAACAGGAAGTACGTCGACTCCAAGTCGAAGTAGTGCCACCGCAAGAGAAAGAAGTCGAGCGCTCGCTCTCAGCTACACTCGACTTTCACCGTGCATACAGTATACGAAAGAAATGCCCGAGCTGCTCGTCGGCGGCCGCGTTGCTCACTTAGCCTATTGCACAACAGGCCATTTTCAGCTTGGTTACACGATACGGAAAAGGAAGCTTTTTTTCTACGTCGATTCGACAGAGAATTGGAATTTTAACGAGCTACGGCGAAAATGATTTGTAAAGAGGAGCTATTTCGAAGGTCAAGGTGTATGTTGTAATGCAAGCTACGGATTTCAAGTGTGGAATGTCTTACATGTCTGATTATTATGTTAATACAGAGAGCATGAATCGTGTAAACTCGACGTATATAAAAAAGGATGTGCGACAAAAGGTACAGGAGCAAAAGAAAATTTCGATAATTATTAAAGTCTTGGTGAAGTCGTTCTGCGACACGTTGTTGCACGGCCCAAAGATCGGAGCTTGATGACAAGTTGCAAACAACCTCGATTTCAAAAAAAAGTAGATACTTGAAAATTGTTAAAATCCTAGTAAACTTGTTCGTTACGTGCAATAGTACGGAGTTGTCATGCAGCTTTTCTTCTGTTTTGCCATGTAACGGCGAACTTGTACTTTACTGCATAGTACGACCACTGAACTTTCTCTCGACCTTAAAAGCCGAGACAAGAGCGACCGAAAGAAGAAAGTGCATCGCCCCTGCACTTTTTAGCTTGAATGCGGTGAGGGACGCCTGTCCTGTTATCCAATACCAGACCTTGTTCAAACGTGTCCTCTAAAGATAATCAAATGAATCACGTTCATGATTGGAAATGTGTATAAAACATACTAACTTTGTTTTATTTTATAACTTATGTATTTACTGGAAATTTTTCAGAAAAACATGGTTTTACATGTACAAAAAAAAAAAAAAAAGAAGTTAATCGTACTAAGTTTGACATTCTTAGTATAGGTTTAACAGACAAGACAAAATTATATGTCAGGAGAGAGGATGGAAAGCTTATAAGTATGTACAAATTTCAAGAAATTTTAACGAGCTCGTAAGAGCACAGTGATTTTGAAATTTAAAATTGAAGAGTATTCTACTGTACCGACATGTAACTCTTACTTATATACGGAAATCGTAAAGTGAAATACACTCGTATGTCGATACAGTAGAAATCGTGTACCTTTCTAGATACAAGATAATTACAACGAACAACAAATAACAATTTTGCTTTACGCGCGACAGGTTATTGGCACTAATTTATACACAAAGCAATTGTGATGTACAACGAAGACAAAAACATCGATATTGCACGTAAAGCTAAATATGCAGCGGTTAAAACGGATGCAAATTGAAACTTCGCGACACGAACAATTAAATAATATTAAAAAAAAAATAATAAAACTGATACACATGGCAATCGTTTTTTCAACTTCCTAATTATAAAAAAATTAATACTCAACAAACATGGACAAAGAAAAATAAAGAAAAAAAATGTATATTCACATATTAAACGAAATAAGCAGGAGTCCTACGATGGGATATAACAGATTAGTGTTTATCATTTTTTTTTGCGCGTGCTACACTAAACTTGCAAATGGGGAAATTAATAACATTGGCTGTTATTACGAAGTTTAGTCGCTCTACATGTGCTATCGTGAGTGTTCTGTATCTCATCCATCGCTCAATACTTATTTCACGACACCTACAGACTACCATGACAATTTACAGTTTGGCAACGAAAATATCTTATTTTTTCCTTCCCTTGTAACTATATACTATGTACATAATTTAACATTTCCAACCGCAGCATCATCTCAAAATTACATTGTCAAATGTCAAGTCTCGGCTGTCGCGTGTCCCGTTGGATTTTTTGAATGGATTCCAGGGTAGTTTTCGTGCTACGTGTGCTGTTGTCATCGAACCTGCTGGACTCGGTTGGCCAGATGAGACACCCGACGAGCTGCTTGCTGATACGCTTCCTTTGTCGCGGTTATTTGCTCGTACTGGTTTCTGAAATCGAACGTAAAATTGCTAATAACTGTGCGTTCCGTTTTAATTTTATTTAATAATCGATACGAAGATTTGTTGTTACCTTCAAATAATTTCGATCCATTGGCGTGACGAGTTTCAGGCTGATAGAGTCGCCGCATTGCTTAATCAAACGAACGACTTGTTCGTGCGATGCCCATTTCACATCTTTATCTCCAATGTTAACGATGAAATCGCCTTCTTTCATTCCACCCAACTAAGGAAACGAGACATGGAAAGGTGACACATCCGGATTTAAAAAGCGACAACATCGCCGGAAAAGAAAACAAACAACATACATCCGCAAGAGAATTATGATCAATGGCGGCTATGATAACAGGTGCATCTCCTCTGACGCTAAAGCCGAAACCCTCGCCACCAGGTCCGCGTTGCAGTTGAATCAATCTTGGCGCCGTCCAATGGCGCTTCGCCGAAAATATCGCCACAGGACCCAGTGAACGGAAAAGATCGTCGACGCCATGCTGGCCGAAGTCCGGGTGTGTCAAACTCAGTTGGAATTTCGTCGCTGCTACGGACGTTAAATTGGAGTCAGTCCATCTCATCCCCGCGACCAGCAGAATTCAGAGAAAAAGGAGTCGGCGCAATTACCGATAATGTGCGGCGCGTCAAGCAATTCGCGAAGATCGTCCTCGTCCCCGGATCTGCCGTAAACGTCCATCGTGGCGTCGTAAGCCTTGCGCAACACGTTGATGAGCGACTGCTTGCCTTTCAATTCCCTGCACATCCTCTGTAACCTTTGACTCTCCTCGTGCAGTACCAAAGCCTCCCTGACGTGTGCTCGACCTGCGATCATTTGGCCAATCGACGGCCGTCAGGAATCCAACTCGAAGCAACCTCGAGGCAAAATCTGGTGCTTACCCAAAAGTTGCCGCTCGCCGTCGGTTTTCGGCACGATGCAGTCCATCTGCTTCTTGGAGTCGCTATCCTGGATCCTCTGCAAAGTCGCCTTGGTCTGTTGCCGGAACGAGCCGTAGGGGTGGTCCAGCAGGCCGGCGGCGCAGTGCCGATGCGACAGGGCCAGATAGTGCTCGCGCTTGACGGACACCAGCGATATCCACGACTCGGGCACGTAGTCTCGCACGGGCTCGCGGGCGATCAAGGTGTGCAGGTCGCCGTAGACGCCGGCCACTTGGGCGGCCTCCTGCGCGAGGTCCAGCGACACGTCGATGTCGCGGGCGTCTCTGGACTGCAGCTCGAGCTTCTCGAAGAGGCACTCGCGAGCTTGCGCCTGCGGAGCACACGGGCGTCACTCGCCGGCCTCGCTTGCCCGCCGCGCCTCTCCCTCGTCGTCTACGTACCAGCATCAACTGCACCAGCATGTCCAGCATGTCCGGTCCCAGGTCCATACTCGGTGCATTGGTGAAGTTCTCGTGGATGTACCTGAAGGTGCCGGCGGCTCTCAGAAACGAGTCCACGGCTTGGTCCAAGCCTCGGGCCGTTCTTCTGTCTTGCTTGGCCGCCACTTGGGTGTACAGGGCTCCGGCGTTGAACAGTACCGACGCCTTCTCGAATGCGACGGTGCGCTGGCAACTCGGCACTCCGGTCAACGAGTCGTACCATTCGAAGTAGATGCCGAGACTGCGATCCGGTGGAAAGAAACGCCTCTCGATGAAGTAGAGTTGGTTGTAGTAGCGGAGCAGTAGGGCAATTCCAGCTGCGTCGCGGGTTGGCGTTCGCGTTGCCTGCCGGGTCTCCATGAACTCTGCGATGGCTTCTTCGTAGTTCTCGCCATCCTCGCTGTAGTGCTCTAGTATAAAATCCTGCCGAGCCAAAATCGGCGTTTAGGTACACGCATACGAATGAATGTGCGGCTGTGCTACGAAATTAATGAGCACACAAATCGTACAACAAAAGTTAATGCAGTTGGACGGTGCATCCTAACGACGCACCAACCAAATCATACGAGCAAGTAGATTGACATTTAAGCAGGGCAAATCGAGAGAAGGGGAGAAGACGGTAACCAAGCCGTAGTTTGTTAAATCGATACACCTCATCGCGTACACACTCGTCTGCGTCTATGCAGTATTTGCTTTTCTTTCGTGGCGTATGTAACCTCGGAGCATTGAGAGGAGAGAAAAAAAAAATGCCGCGTATAACAATAGAATTGTTGAGAAAACGCTGCGAGCACAATGAAGGTGAAATATCCACGCTCGAGGAGTTATCGTTGCATCAGGAAAACATCGAAAGAATCGAGCTGCTCAATCAAGCCTGTCGAGACCTGAGGATCCTGCTGCTGCAGTATAACCTCATATCTAAAATCGAAAATCTACACAAACTTAAGAAACTCGAGTATCTTAACTTGGCACTCAACAATATCGAAGCTATCGAGAACTTGGAAGGGTTGGAGAGCTTGCAGAAACTCGATCTCACGGTCAATTTTGTTGGCGATTTACGAGGTGTTAAAACGTTGAGGCACGTTTAAATCTCATTATTTACACTACAAATAAAGTTCCTACTCCGAGTGACCTTTGATTGTTCCTGCACGTTCAGATCAACTTTACCACTCTGTATTTGGAACACGAATGTCAAGTCTTCAAACTCACTGCACGCTTATTTCACGAGCAAACGTACTTAATTTAAGAATTAATTTTTGACGTTAAAGAAAAAAAAAATTTGCAGAGGAAACGAGCATCTGGAGCAGCTAATCCTCACGGGCAATCCATGTTGCGATTACGAGGGCTACCGCCAGTACGTCGTGGCGACGTTACCTCAGCTGAAGGAGCTCGACATGACTCGTATCGAGAGATCGGAGCGTATCAAGGCGCTGCAAAGGTATGCGGAGGCCGAGGGCGACGTCATACGCGGATACCGGAAGTACGCGGCGATCAGGCAAGCGCAAAGGAGCCGACGCGAATCTTTGGAAACGAGCGAGATCACGGATGAGAATGTATGGATGATTCACTCGGACCCGTAGAAAGTTCCTCGATCTCCTATCATTGCAGAACGACAGCGCGGACGAGGACGCGGCATTCTGGAACTCGACGAGTCAGCACACGCCGGAGGATCGCGTGGCCATAGCGAGGAGAACTATGAAGCAGCAGGAGAGGCGCGACGGCAAAAGTTCGACGTCTAATCAGCCGAAAAAGTCGGCTCTGAGATTATTCAGTCCCGAGGGACGGCCGTACAACGTCAACCAAGCGAAAGTGGCGTTCAGGTTGAACGACGAGGATGATCGTGAGAACGTCACTCTCGACGTGACAGTTTACAAGTACGTCCTCGTGTCGTCCGCCGCGAAATTGCACGTTTTGCCGATTTCTCGCTCGCTTTCTCACGCAGGCACCTCGACACGAGTTTCGTCGACGTGGACGTGCAGCCCACTTACGTTCGCGTGACGATCAAGGGCAAAATTTTACAGCTGAGCTTGCCCTGCGAAGTGACGACGGACAAGAGTGTCGCTCAGCGTAACGTTACGACGGGCAGTCTGATCATCACCATGCCGAGAGTCAACAGATTAACGGCTTTGTCGGCGACGAGGAAAGAAGTTAAGAGCAATAAGAGCGTAAGGAGGATCAGAGCGACCCCCGAGGTGAGCAAGCGAGAGTATTTGGAAATTGGACCGCCGAAGAGGGACAATCTCGACGATCTTTTGAGAATCGTCGGGAACGACGAGAAATCAACGAAGAAGAAAGTGGCGGACGAAGATTTCGTGGATAATCCCGATGTGCCGCCGCTCGAATGATTCTTTTTTCTCACCTTGAATGGGTCTCGAAAGTCAATGTCCTTGGTCTCCTTGAGACCCAGTGGAATCAACGGCATAAATGCGTCGTCGCTGCAAACAGAAATAACATTGTATATGAAAATAAATTGCTGTAATCTTTAGGAAAAATACGCTAGCTTTAGTGAACCCGTAGATCCGTAAAGTCCCGTAGCACTTGGTATCAAGCGCTACAATTGCCTCGTCACCCGAGGCATAACTTTTTCCGTTACGGTTCTTCGCTTGGGGTGGCGTTTGTAAATGCAAGCGACGTCGTTTCCGAATAATCACGATGGCGGGAATAGATTGAGACATCTATCCTGCTTCTTACGAACAGAGTTGTTAAGGTTCCAAGCTGTTTGCATCTTGGTTAAATTCATTCATACGAGTTTTCGAACTTGAGTTTACCTCTGGAGAATGTACGTATTGTATTACAGAATAAGAAAATTCGTTCGAATACCCAACGGAGGATTCTATCAATTCTAGATTTTGCCGAACCAAACTCATAATCAAACTGATTGCCGGCTTACGACGGAATAGAAAAACGTTTCTCCGACAATCGTATGCCGTTCAGCGCCCAAGTCAACCAACGATCATCGTCGTCGTCGTCCAATTTCTCGAGCAATCGCACAAGAGAGCACGAACGTCGCGCGTTCCCCTTTCCCGTGCGCTCTCACATCCCCATTTTTCGTTTCTTCTCTCTTGTCTGCGCCAGCATCCGCTTTCACGCGCGGAAGCTGCCCGCAGGCCGGGCGCGCCGTTAGAGTTTATATGCGTGTCCTTCGCGAGGCTCCAGATCGCGCCTGCGATCTCTCTATCGAGATTCTCGCGGGTGGCCATTTCAGAAAGAGAAACGCTTCGCGATCTTGTATGTGGGCTCTTGCCGCCTGCCACAGGCGGCGCGTATTTCACGATTGCGGCGAACATTGCAGGTAGATACGCGTGCGTCCTTTGTTTTTTCTCATCAAGTTTTATTGGAAATCAAACGAGGATGGCTCGAGTATTTGCCGATAAGCCGACTTCAAATGATCTTCGAGGCTGTCTCCTGTATATAACTTCATTACTTTTCTAGCGAATGAGGCACACGGGCATACCGCCACTTCCACTTTGAGTCCGCTTATCTTTACGTACACCGACAAAGTGTATTCTTCCTCGCGAAATCCAAACTTATCAGCTTCCTTCCGAAAATTCGCGCGCATAAGCGTGTCGGTAAGGTGCGACTTTCATCGAATTTCCTTATCACGGTAAACCCAACCCATGTGTTTAAATTTAAACGTTTAACGTGACGTCAATTTTAAACACTTCTAAACGTTTCAATTCAGGGACAACTTATTTCTTATGGGTTATTATTGACGTCACATTTGCACACTTTAAACGTTTAAATTTAAACACATGGGATTTTGAGATTTTGCCGCGTTAGCGAAACGATCGACGAAAGAAGAAGAAGAAGAAAAAGGCATCGCTTAATCTCTTCCCAGGAAGGGCAAAACTGCCGCGTCATAGTGAAAATAATAGGCGCTATTAAGAAAAAGAAGAAGAAGAAGAAGAAGAAGCCTCTCTGTTGTGTATCGTAAGCTCTCCGCGATACTGCCATTAGCGCTAACGTTATCCCGCGACTAAAGACAATGATTAGGGGACGGCGATCGAGACGGGAACTCGTTACTCATCCCGTGCGCGCGGTGACGACGTGAGAGAGAAAGAGAGAGAGAGAGAGAGAGAGCAGTCTGCTGCACGAGCTCCCCTTCCCGAGAGTTCGGCCTTTTGTTCACCGTTACGCGCCGACGTCGCAGAGCAGCCGTGGCAAAGGGACGTAGAGCTATATATAGAGGAGTGCGCGCGGCGGCGCAGGTGCAGGCGGAAGATCATCGCCGCGAGCGCGATCTACGAGGCGCGCGGAGGACGGGGCAAGTTGGCGAACGGTTCTCCGACGCGACGTCCTGTCGCGCTGAGACTACGCTCTCCTCGAGGAGACTCCTCGGTCGTAGGATGCGCGCTCCGGACAACGGCGAAAGCGCGCACAACGAAGCGGCGCTATTACGTACAGCGCGAGGCAGGAAGATTCGCTCTGGCCGCTCTTGCGTCATCGTGCAGCAACCACGACCTTGGGACGCTTATTACCAAGTCTACGCGCCTCTCCCTCCCCCGTTCTTTTTCGCGAAACGTCTCGCGTGCCAGGAACGAGGCCTCGTTCGTCGCGCGAACTTCAACGACCGAGAGCATTGTCAGGCTTTGCCATACGCACCTGTCATTTTGATAGAGCTCGACGGAGCTGTTGAGCTCGGCGAGTTGTTCCTTGAGGAGCTGGAGATTCGAGTTGACGAAACTCAGCTCGAGAGCGACGGTTTCTTTCAACTTGCGATTCGTCGTGGCCCTGCAATTCATTCGTTCGATCCATCAATTTTCACCCTTTGCCCGATTGGTCATTTCGCTCTCGAAGCAATCGAGCTCGCTTCAAATTCAAAAGCAACACTCACTTGTACAAATTTTCGGCTCCAGCTCGAAGCCGCAACTCTTTGTTGATCTCTTGATTGAGTTTGCTCCTCTTGTTCTGCAATTTACCTCTGCATGTAGCGACCCGCGGGTCTGAACCCTGCAACGAGCAAAGATCCACCGTCAATCACCGAAAAGAACGTATGCGCGCCTTCAAAAGCTTTCATCGCGAAAAGGTTTAAACGCACGCCGGCGGCGCAAAGAACAATCGCTTTTCTCCCTAGCATATAATTCGCGAGAGAAAGAGACGAAATTAACGCTCACGAGAAAGTTCCGACGTATGTCCGCGGGCGCGACATTGGAAAGTCCGTATATATAAACTTTCGAGAGACGACACCGCCGCCGCGTACACGTGCGCACCGAAAAAAAAAAAAAAAAATAATAAAATAATCCGACCTGATTTCGATTGAACCTTTTGTTTCACCGCTGCCGGCGAATCAATTGGAACGTTGATTCTGGCGTGCGGGTATTAATGTGACATTGTCTGAGGTATGCTTCGTCGCGAGGTTGTGAGATTTTGATTGAAGCGAGTGAGATCATCAAGAATAAATTTGAAAAGGTATTGCGATGAATTCGCGGGGATGAATTCTTCAAAAACTTTTGCTATTATACGTAAATATTTGAATTGCCAGGATTTATAGTTACGACAGCAAGATTTACATTGGAAATATTGAATCAACGAAAATGTCCAATTAAAAATTATTTTAACTAACTCTTCCGTGCACTCTTGGAACAACGAATTTATGTAAGCGTTATGCAAACAATTGCGAGAGTCCGTCTGTAAAAAGCAATGAATTTGTTACTCTGCTCTGAACAAATATAATTTAGAAAACGCTCAACTTGAAAATTATTCAATAAGAAATGCTAAACTTTCATAAACTTGATTGTTCTGGCCAACCTAGTTTATTCGCAGAGCTCAGATGTAAATTTGATTTCCAACAAGAGTAAAAATATCGGCAACCTCGTACGGAGAGAAAACGAGAAAAAGAAAAATGAACGGGCGCGTGCCTGAAATCTTGACCGAATGACTCGTTACACTTTGCAATCGCGTTATTCACGCGTGAATAATCATGTCGACTTGAAATCCGCGAAAATTACATCGTGCCCCGACGCATTGAGAACCGGTCAGCAATTGAACGTAATATTCCACTTGGCCAATAAGGTGAACCGCTGCTGCTACCGGATACATACTTTCTTATCGGCTCCATCTAATCTCTCGTGGATCCTCAATCCGAGCCTGCTTTAATTGGCTAACGTTTGTCAAGATTGTTTTTGCATAAAAACCGACGCCCTGGTTTTGCGTTTTGTTTGGTTGTCTAACTGTATACCCGCGACTATTTTGACTTGACGATGCGAAATATCAATATACGAGTTTGCTAAGAGGGCAAATAGAAAGAATCAACGTCTTGATTTATGTGATGATTGATATTCTCGGGATGTACGTTTTAATCGGAACACAAGCCAGTTCCTTGTTAAATAAAATTCGAGTTTATCTTCGCTCTATATTTACAACGATATGGTGCAAAATTACACGTTACGCGCGAAAGAGAGATTGTTTTTTATAATAGCAGCGACGCCCCGTTTACAGTCTATTTAATTTTACGATGAGAAATTTTTCAAAATGTTCGACTTAACGACTACTTAATTTGTAGCTGCGGGATACGTGTCGGAAAATTGATGAAATTTTTTTATGACTCAATGTTTCATGTTTTAAAATGTATTTTTGCTTATAAAAACGAACAAACCCCTCTAAAAATCCATACTCAAACAACTCGATTACGTACCATTCAATCGACTTATCTCTCTATGGGTGATAGCTGTGGATCGTAATTTTATTGTAAAGCGCACACAAGATAATATAATTGTACTGTAATAACTTCATTAAACAATCAACGGTACGATGTAAAAAATTTTGAATTAGATCGACAACAGCCGCGCAAAATTGATCAATTCGACCAGTATTTGAAGAATGCCGTACTAAAAAAAAAAAAAAAAACAGGAAATAAATGAAAGTACACTCTCAAATTCACCACACATTCTCTTTCATACAAATTATTTATCCATCATCTTGAGCCATTAGCATCGTAACTTAATTCACGAAATATCAACAGCCACTCCCTGCGTGAAATTTTTCTTTTCGAGGTCAAACGATAATCCTCCCGGTGAAAGTTTTGAATTTTTCGAAGAGGAAAACCAATTCGCCGATCGTGGGGAACAGACACGCGTGCGCGCACGAAGGAGAGTCGAGTGCGACCGTATATACATAAAGTTTGTATAATGCGAATCGATACGCCGGTGTCACGGGTATAGAATAATGAAAGTGTCGGCTCGGATCGATTGCTTCGCGGCTTCACTTTACTCGACGCGAATATTCACGCCGAGCGAGATTTCGAAAGGACGGATTCGACATTTTTGTTTCTTTTTCTTTCGTCTCCTCTTTTATCGATAGAAAGCGCTGCTTTTATGGAAGATTATTGCGTGCAAAATATCGAGGAATCGTGCAAACTACGAGCACCTGGAGAGAAATGGCAAACAGTCGGAACCGCGCGTGCCACTAAATTTTTTCGTTGCGCAAAAGCCGTATACTTAGCTCTCGCCAACATGCCACTTTATCCACAATTGTACACATTTTTGTCATCGTCGGCGGGAGGTCAATGGCTTGTCGTTGCGGTGGCGACGTAATTATCCTTCTGTCGATCGGCTTTTTTTTTATAATAAAACTCTGCCGATTGACCAAGTCTAAGGGTGAAAGTGAACGGTCGCGGAGCGAAGCATTTCGAATCGCGCTAATTCGCTTCTCGACTGCTGCCATTGATTCCCGTCCTTACAGCCTTTTTCTTCAGCTCATTTGGTTTTGCGCTAGACGCGTTATTTGTTCGTAGGACAGCCGAGTGAATTTATTTAGTCAGAATTTGAAAAATATTTGTTGAATGACTGCGTTGGCTTTGTTTCGTAGCACGTAAAAACATACATCGCGTTTTACTAAAATTGGCTCGAGAATGAAAAAAAAATTAATAAATAATGCCGACAAACCTCCTCAAAAATAAATCTCCGGCAATTCACAATCCATCGAACAATAATCTCGCAATTGCATAGCAAAATCCACAGCACACAAGCCTACTCCACGCACAGCATTCTTTAAATTCGTGCAACTTTCCAACTTGCGAACGACCTTGATCCACCTTAATAGCTCGTTTTGCTTGGCTCGCTAGGCGCTCGCGCAACGATATGAAATCACGAGCTGCGCGGAGAAAAAAAAAAGAAACGTACAAGCGCGCAAGCACGATTGTCACTCTCAATTTTTCTTTTCCTTTTCTTTCTCCGTCGCATTGTGCGACGCGAGTGAAAGGAGGGAAAAAAATGATAGCGTTAACGAGCGACGATGAGCGGCGTGCGCGTGTGGATGCCTCTCTTTCACGGTCGAAGCTGCGACGATGAGGTGTGGAGTACTCGCGTTTAGGATGAAGAATGGATGAACAAGTGGTGCGCGCGGTTTTCTTTCTTCCTCTGGAAGCAAAGTGAAAATATAGAGGTTTTGCGAAAGTGTCAAACTAAAATGTGTCAAACGTTTTGAGCCATCTGGTCTTCGCGCGAGTTTCGACATTTTCGTTCTCGCGCTTCGAATGCAAATTCAAGAACAATCTGCAAGTCTCGAAAAATAGATATTATGTTTAACTGCGATTCTACTCTGCCTGCTACTTTCGATTAAATTTATTTTGATAAGATCCATTGCTTTCATTGTATAAAGGACTTGACGCTCGATGCTGTTGGTAAAATATAATAAAAATGATATATAAAAGATGACACTGCTAGACTATTACGATTACGTACAAATAGATCATCATTGATATACTGTAGTTCCAGGTAAACTACGAGCTTACATATTACTCGGAAATGTCTTTGTTGGAATAAGCTCGTCAACGATAACAATTGTCAATATAGTAAAACAAAAAAAATTAGTCGCAGTAAAGATTGCCAAAATCGTTAGCTGTTTTTTCATGGCATCAATCTAGCACTTATAGGAAAAATTAAGCTTAAAAAAATAAATAAACAAATGAAAAAGTAAAATAAAAGTTACGAATCGCGAGATCTACAAGCGACCAACCGGACGCGCAACAATGACGCAACGAACAGCGCCACTGCGAGGATTCCAAACAAAAGCGCCGTGACGAGCCGCGTGCTGCGCGAATGTGTACACATTAAACTAAACCGAATTCTCGCGCCTCGGTGCGCGCATATGACTTTCGTAAGACATCGCACGAGCAGTGGACGCCAGAACCGAGGTCGGCAACTGCTCCTCGATACGTAACGCAAGATTACGAGACAATATTGCGCGCTGACTCGAGCGTCTGACGAGGACAGAGGAGCACACTCGTTTACCCCGATGCGCCTCCTCGTGGTTGACGAGCTATTCTTGCTACTGGCGTCGAGCTTGTCGCTGCTTTTGCAGCTGCTCGCACTCTTGCCGGATAACGATGACGACGACGACGACGACGACGACGGCGACGACGACGACGACGACGAGGAGGAGGAGGAGGACGATGACGACAAAGCCGACGAGGAGGAGGACGCCGGAGGAGTCAACGTCGTCGCTGTCATCGAATGGGACGCGGCCTTCGGCGACGGCGACGACGGCTGATGATGCACCCACTTCAGCATTCTTGATGACATTGACGGCCGCTCGACGACTGCATCGCGCTAGGCACGCGTCTCCTTTCCTTTCTGCGCGTGCTGTCAATTTTCGCTTTGCTTTTCGCGTGTCGTTGCTTGGATTCGATCGTTATCGCCGCCAATAAAACATTCTCTCCTCGCTCCTTCGTTCGGTCGGCGGCTAAAGCATTCCTAGCGGCCGCAGATAAGCTCGCGAAAAATCAGCGACGAGATGCAACAAGAGAGAAAAAGCTCTTTCCGCGTGTCACCAGTGCCACGTTCGTGTCGCGCGTGCGATGTGTGCGCCTAGAAAGCGTGAAGATTTTCAATTGAATGCTACCGCGTGTACCGTTAAAGCTATCTTACGATTGAGTCATTCCGGCCGTACGATCGATTATTACGCGCGATAAAAGAAAAAAATAATAAAAGAAGGCCTCTGCGCAAAGTAAA